CATTTATTTAATCAAAAATACAGTAAAAACAATATATATATATATATATATATATATATTATAACATTTTGCGATTTAAATACATGTTTAAGCAAATGTTTTATATTTTAATAGATTTTTTCCTGTGATGGCAAAGCTGAATTTTCAGCAGCCATTACTTCAGTCTTCAGTGTCACATGATACTTCAGAAATCATTCTCTTATGTTGATTTGGTTCTCAAGAAACGTTTCTTATTATTATCAATGTTGAAAACATTGTACAATGTTGTATTACTTACTGTTTTGTGAAAACTAATACATTTTTTTTTCAGGATTCTTTTGATGAATACAAAATTCAAAAGAATAGCATTTATTTGTCTTTACTGTCACTTTTGATCAATTTAATGGATCCTTCCTGAATAAAAGTATTAATTGCTTTAAAAAATCCCCAAACTTTTGAACAATGATGTTTGTGTATTTATATGAAATATTATCTACATGCCAGTTCTCATAAAGGATAAAGGTTAGCAAATCTTAACTTTTTCAAAACTTTTTTTACAAAATTTTTTACACAATTTTAAAAATGTACAGTCTTTCTATGGAAAACAGACTGAAATATTGCTTTCTCATTGGCATTGACAGTTTCCAATCAAAAACAAGTTAGAATAAGAATGTCCACTCCTCCTTAAACCACCTGCTTTCATTAACAGTAGCAAATGCCCTCATCAAGCAATTCCATGGGGTCTTTCCTGGGCATTACATTGACCAAGTATTAGGGCCACTGTCCTGCAGAGTTTAGCTTCAACCCTAATTAAACACACCTGATCCAGCGAATCAAGGTATTTAGAAGTGCTAGAAACTTCCAGGCAGGTGTGTTGGAGCTGAACTCTGCAGGACAATGGCCCTCCAGGAGCTGAGTTTGACACCTCTGGTCTAGATCCATAATTGGATGCTTTCTTCTGAGAGCTTTCTTCTAACCCAACATGTCTGAGGCGATACTGGAAGCTACGGGAGCTCAGAATGGAAGTGAAGAGGGAAAATAGAACAGTGCTCTTGACCTGCCCTCAGCCCCGCTCCCACAGAGCCTGACCTGCAGGAGAGGCTGAGGGATATCTTACCCATGCTGCTTGACTAGCCAACCGAGATCAAAAGCCTTCGCGGCTCCCCTCCCCTCCCGTCCCAGCCAGGAGCTGATTGAAGCGATTCATGACCAGGTCGTGACCCCTGCATGCC